TATATTGGGAATTTAAGCAAACATAGTTGGTAGGGGGGGGGTGGCTAGTAGTAGTAGTAGTAGTAGTAGTAGCAGCAGCAGCAGTAGCAGCAGCAGTGGTGGTGCTTAACGTGATCATTTTTTGAAGGACCTGCCTGATGCAGCAGCCACTCTTGATGCTCGTCGATTGGCCTGGCATGTTACACAAGAACACTTCCGACCATTTGGTCAAGACCCAGATGACTATATCTCCGGAGTTCTGTCTGATGATGGGTGGCGGCATCTTTTTGATGAGTCCAGCCTTGAAATCCTAGAGGCGGTGCCCATCCCACGATCATTGCGTTATCCCGTGCCGCACGTCCTGTACCGCTTGCAGGCCAAAAGTTGATATTCGGCACAGACCTGCGAATTGCTGCTGCAGGGAAAATGCCACGAGACCGTGTTTCAACGTGCCATGGAACACAAAGATTATGAAATCCGTCATCAGCTTTAAGATACATGTATGCATGTATCGAACTAATGGCTAAAAGAATAGAACAAACAAATCGTTTTAGCGTATACAGATATCACCCTTCGTTTTGGAGTTCCTTTTTCAGAATCCGCAATTTGAGCATTAGAATGATTTTCCAACGAATAGAGAGAACTTTTAGTACAAACGAGAAGATATCTTGAAGGGTCACGGCAAGTGCGGTAGCGCAGGGAATATGTAGATTATTATGCATAAATATACAGTTCCGATGAATCTTTCGAAGCTACAATATTTATTATGAAGATTATTGAATACCTCAAAAATGGCGCGGCCACTTGCGGCCATGTCGCTCGCGTGGGCCCTAGCTTTTCCAGCTGGCCAATACAATGCCTTCTGCAGGCTTCTCAGGATTCGCAAACGCTACAGGCTCTCAAATTTCTTGTTTTTTCGGTCGGGGTGGGAGGGGTGGCGCAAAATCGCCGTGCGTCGTCCCCCTCTTTCCGCCCTAGCTATCGGTATCGAAGAATCGGTAAGACGGTCTATGAATTAGGGCGTCGTTCTGTCAATCTCTTTGTGGTCTACCGCGTCGTTCTGATAGAATCGGTCTGTCCGTCTCACGATTCATCGGTTTTTATTTATGAAATCATTCTGTCGATTTGATTATAATTTTAGATTTTCATTCTATCGATCTAATATTTCTTGGAGTTTATTTGATAGTCGATATATTTATCATATGATTTGAATAATTCTATTTATTGATATATTAATATGGAAATAAATATCTTAATATTATAACCCGATTTTTTTTGCGGTCATTTCGATCGCGCGTGGCCTGGCTTTTTTTGCTTACTTCTAAAATATTTCTTTTAGGTTCACTAGTGACTCTAAAATTTCTAGAGAAGATGGAGACTCTAAAATCTTCGATTTTCTTTTTGAAAATCTCGGAGATTTTTGTTAGCGCATCTATTCTCCCCGGAATGATTTTTCGCGTGATTTATCTCTTTCTCTCTCTCTCTCTCTTATCTGAGGGTCTGCCCGGCGGCACGTGCAGCTCCGGGATGATTAAGCTTATTTGTATTCTGCCGATCTATCGCGTAATAATTAATCTAAGAGAGATAAATGAAGCGGAAATTCTCGACTGGAGATTTTGGACTACGGGAATAATAATCTTTCGAGATTTTGGATGATGCTTTCTTTTGGTTATTTGAAACCTTTATCTCTCCTTTGCTTCTCCGCCGGAACGATTTGCTTCGTGATTCATTTTTCTTTATAGAGAATAAGAATCTTTCGGGATTTATAGGCATTTATGCGCTCCTCCAATCCGCCGCGTAATGGTTAGTCCAAGAGAAATAAATGAAGCGGAAAGATCGGGTCGGAGATCTTGGGTCGGGAGAAGATTAATTTTTCGAGATTTCGGAATATTTATTTCTCTTTGGCTGTCTGCGCAATGGCTCGGCGGGATATATAGATCCGACATATAAAATCTTTCAGAATCTATTGCTTAAACGTTTTTGATCAGCGACAAAAATATTCGTGGCTAACAAGGATATCATTTACTAGATTAATATTCTGTGGCAAGATAAGCAACCACTTTACGGCGCTTCATGAAATATCAAGGGAATAGAGCCCTGGCTCTGTCCGGCAGGGAAGCAGAGCCATATCACGATTCGGATTTCGAATTGAAGTTAGTTCATATATCCGTAGAGGGATATGCGTATAGGAATGCGTATAACGGATGATAGAAATAGATTATATTAGATTGCCTGGGAAAAAATATCGTCAGATTCTGAGATGTCTTTCCAAATCTTCTTGGATTCCAATCTATAAATCTGCCCCTTCAGGAATGCCTCGAGATGGGCCCCTGCTTCTTGGAGGAATAATTTGTCAGATATGGCAATGCCCCCAAATACGCAATTCTAAAAGCTGCTGATAGCATGGTAGTCCTCAATTTCAAAGCTGCCGACGCTTATTGAGGATTCGATATATCAAGCTATAAACATATAAGAATTGGACTTCTACGCATTGTTTTATTCCGCATCAGCTTGCTTGCGGCTGCGAGTACACTCTAATGACGATGGCCCGTTGTTGTAAGCAGCGGGGCCACTCTAATATTTGATATATCTTCGATTTTTTAAATACTATATTTCTAATAATTCGATTAATTGCAGGATAGGAATTCCCAGAAAAATATATTCGGATATATATTTCGATATATATAATTTGATATATATAATTTCTCTTTCGTCATGAGTCTAATAAAACGGGTTATGATTTGAAATATAATTCGAAATATATTTCGATTATTGATTATGATTTAGTCGGAAGTATTTATATAGGAATATATGCGGATTTATTGGCATCTATTCGATTTTTTTAATAGATCTTAAATTATATTACTATGATAATTCTTTGTTATTGAAATAGGAGATTTTTCTAATATTAGATTTTTCATTTATTGTATATATTCTTGATATTTCTATTTCGTGCTATCTAATATGATTTTATTGATAAATTTGATGAATCTATTCATATATCATTTTTGATCTTTATATAATTCTATGAGAAATCTAAATCGGAAATGAAGATATATATCGGATGATGAAAATATATTCTCAAGAATTTCGGGAGACGAAAAGAAAATGATAGTGAGATCGTTAATATTACTAATAAGATATAGAAAATAAGATAATTCTAAATTAGGATTATATTGAGAGGATATCAGAATTCCGTATTTAAGGAATTAATATTCGTTATTTTTTCTAGCTAAATTATATATATATAGAAATATTATATATCTAGAAGAAGGATATATAAGAAATCTAAATCTTATCGAGATATATATATAATTTTGCCTTCTAATCTATTTTCAGGGATAATTAGAGAATGGGAGATACGTCAAATAGAAGAATATGAAAGAATATGAAAAAGGAGGGATTCAAAATATAATAGATATGATCGCGTCCTATCTTATAGAATCCAATTTGATAATCTCTCTCCTCGAAGGCGATAAGAAAAAGGTATGAATAAATGATATAATCGGAATTAATAGAAATAGAGAAATTAAGTTGGAGAATTCTCTGATATAATCCGAAATCCGAAATTCAAATTCTAGATTAGAATGGATTGGAAGCGGGAATAGAATGGATATTGAGACGAAATCATAGAAAATAATCAAGATCATGATTTTTCAATATATCCAAAGATCTTTATATCCTAATTCTCAAATCTAAAGATCCGATTCTAAGCTCATAATCCGTCCTAAAATCCCAATTTAATATCCAAAATCCAGATATTTAGTTCTAGATCCCAATTACGAAATTTCTCATCCCTAATATCCTTTTCTATCATAACGATTATTATTGCCGCTACCGTCTATGCCGCCGCAATCTCTATCCGAATATCTTCCGTCCCCTCCATTATGGACGCTTCCGCCGTTAATCCCAAGATTTTTATTGGCAAAGCAAGTCCATAATTCTACCATAATCATAATATTATAAAAATCATTGAATCGGCAATTCTTCTTTGAGAGCTATCGAGTCGGCCGAGAGAGAAATAGCTCGAAATCTTGGAAGATTTTTCGTCATGCGGATCGCATCCAGCCCGGTCTTTTGGCTTCATTTATCTCTCTTAGCTTATCTGCGCGGCGGCTCGGACGAGCGCATAAATCTCCGTAAATAAATATAATCAATCTACAAATTTGGCCCGGCTCTATACCGAGCCGTTATGCATAGCTGAAGAAAGAGATCAATCGAAGAAAGAGAAATGATTCGAAATCTCGAGAGATTTCGGGTCGAATGGCCTCCGCATCAATCCGATCTTTCCGCCTATTTATTTTTCTTGGCATCCGCGCGGCGGCTCGTGAGAGCGCATAAATCCGTATATATCACCGTAGATAGATACGGCTAATCTATAAATTCTCAAATAATTTGATTCTCCGTCCCAAATCTACGCGTTCCGCCGAATATTCGTGCAGATAATCAAAGATATATATATCATATAGAAAATGGACTCCGGAATCAAGGGCCGTGCGATTAAAAATCTCGGAGATATTAGAGCCTCAAGTATTTTCGAAAGACGTATTTTAAAAATGAAATAGAAAATCTAAATCGCATACGAGCGAAAAGATCGCAAATAACCGCGCCAAAACATTGAAGAGATTTTATATGAAAATATTTATAATGCAGAATGATCTTTTATCTATATATATATCCTATAAAATTAGAATTTCTATTTCTATCAAATAAATTATATCGCTCTCTCGTATTATATTATAGAATAAAAGAGAGAATTCTTTTCTGTGCATAAAAATATAATTTTAATTCTCTCATTAATATTTAATATCAAGATATATAATAATCGATATTCTCTTCCCAAATATCCGAAAATTCTTAATATGTAAAAGAATCGATATTTCCTAAATATATTCGATTATTTCCTATATATGAAAATATCAATACTATTATATCCCAAAAAAAACCGATTTCAAATCTTAATTCTTATTTTTCTTTATATAAATTCTATATCAAAAATATTATAAATCTACAAGGTATATTTATAATTAGAAATCTCCTTTAATTTCCGATAAATATCTTTATCTAATTAGAAATTGAAAGAATATCTTACGAGCGCACGTCGTTTCGCATTCCAAAGAGAATTTCGTACCCCAACCGCAAGGCANNNNCTTATCCCATAGCGAAATTTTATATCCCAAGATCGAATCCCCATGGCACAGTATACGCAAATATAAGGCAAGGTGAAGCCAAAATCATCCTTCCCTGGCGGCTCATATTACTCAGCATATGAAAAGCAGGCGCAGACACACATCTCCGAGGTCCAGTTCCGCAGGGCACAGTGCATTTTAGTTCTCTGAAACTATATATAGGAAAGCCAAGTCAAAATTATCATTCCTCGGCGTTTCA